TGTAGAACTGGCTACTTTCTTTAGGGTCATACCAACCATCTAGAGGGACTAGAGTCTGTGATTAAGCCATGTTTATCTATTCGAATTCAGAAATTACTGTTAGCCCCGAAACGTACTCATTTTGCACATTCAACACAAATTCGGTTCAATGACAACCCCACTATGCAAGTATGGTTAAGGATAGCTAGACTCGCCTCAAAAGTCACACGTCAACTTGCCAACGCGATGCTTCAAATTCGAGCTCGAGTCCCGTAGATCAACCAGAAGATGGTGAATAATAGCACTATTCCCCATAGTTTGCATAAGGTCACGGAAGTATGGGATAATTTGGTTAGGTCATGCACACGAACATCCATTTGTACATGCGTTTGCTTGTACGACTAGGTAGAAGTGTGAATTGGTACGAGATTACCGGGCTATTAAGGATTTTGACCTCTCCTCTTTGCTAGCAGGCCAATACAGCACTACGATTGCGCAACACCTGACGTCTGTATGGTCGAGATGATGAGCTTCCTGCATAAAATCATAAATGGAAATGAGGAATGCAGTCTACTTCCATTTAGCCATTCTGGAAAGCTGTCAGTCGCCGATACAAAAACCTTCATTTTTGACCAAAGCGTCACTGTTATTTCATTTGACAGACATCATTACAACTTGGTACCATTCTTGAAACGACATTTAGCCTAGAAAACCGACCGGCTTAGCTATACCTGTCGTGGATAAACGTCAGATCCAAAAGTTTTTACGAGATACAAAGTAATCAGATTAGTTCGTTTGATGTGTGGATGTGTGTTTGTGTGTTTATGTGGGCGTACGTACATTTATGCCAAGGTGATGGTACAAAGCCATTAGTGAAAGAGCTCATTGTTATTAGAAAAAAGCGTTATTATATCATCACAGTTCTATGAGCCATCTTCTATATTTTTACCAAAATTCCAACCATACTGAGGATAAAGTGGATAAACATCCTCCTGCCATTTAATGCATTTCCTAATCCGGTGATCTCGATAGCTCTTCTTCTTTTGTACATTGCAGCAGATGTGTCCTAATCTACATCATGATAGGCTTGGCCACAGTTTCTATCGTTTCCCGCCAATTTTGACCCCTGGACCCAACAGCTCATGCAACTATTTTTCTGTTCACTTCCAATCTGCCGAATGGGGCGATGGGTCTCAGCAGAACAGGCGCAACCACACTGTCACGCAATCTAGTTACCGCCGGATCGAAATGCTGGCTCGAATTTCTCCTTAGCTTTGGCCACAACAGAAGAAAGTGTCACAGTCACCACGAAAACCCTTTTCATTGCCCACTTGCCTGCCAGTTCGGCAGCCTTTTGACACTAAAGTCTTTTATTCGAATAGACCTAATCAAAAGTCGGACCTCCTTCTTATACCACCAACAAGCTAGCAACGAGTTAAGGACAATAGACGTCTCATTCTGGCATGAAATGTAGACCCCAACACTTTTGTACACATGCATGTGTGTTGCGAGTGTAGTTAAGTCAACAAAACTAATATTTCAGAGTTCTGAATTCAGCAAAATTGCTCACGAAATTAAATTATCCATCGAGGCGTCTTATCAGAATCGGAAAATGCCTATCATATCGTGTACCATCACTTACCACAGCTTTTCCTCGAATAAAAATCCTCAAATGTACAGGATGCTGTACGGTTAACAACTTAATTTGCCCACAATCGCATCCTTAGGCCTCCCGTTTACAGATAATTTCACATCACTTCCCAAAAGGTATTTTCATCCATGGCCCTTCATCGCCCTAAACAAAATATGGTAATATTTCCCATATGTCTGAT